CTCTAAATGGTCTAAACGTCTCCGTCTCTGATCGCCTACAGCTCTGTGAAGTGTTTTGAAGACTAAACTAATGCGTCGCTAACATGTTACATGATATTTGAAATTTCTTGGCCGCATATGCAAAACTAGTAAAAAGAACTACTATGTTAATCAGTTCTTAGGTCAAAAGAAGAACAATGAGAAGTCGTGAAATGGTGAACTTATGTTAATTTCTTAGAGAATGAAGGTTTTGAAGCTATCTGTGATGTATGATCAAAAAACTAAAATTGCCGCCAGAAATCGCGCAGTATGTAATAACTAGTACCACCTACAATAAGTGTGCTGCAAAAAAGACTGATGACTTTTTCACCGGTTAACATTGTGGAGGTCTGGAAGTGCGTAGAAGGGAAAAAAAATAAAGTAGAAAAAGGAAATTTGTATAAGCTTCAGATAAAGTGAAAAATGACTACTTTTGTTTCTTTAAACTTCTTTTTTTTTCCCAGTTTGAAGAATATAAAGTTGCTTGTTTCCTGCGAAACTTCCAAAAAACGTTTAGCCTTTAAAGTCTTGTTGCAAAATTCATGAATTCTTTTAAGAATTCTACAACTATCGATTGCTTTACTTTGAAATTTGGATTCCGTCTAAATCCTTTTTTGAATCATTTTCGCTTTCACTTCTTATTTAGCAAACAAATAATCTTGAAAGTACAGAAGTGAAGATTCATATTCTTTGATGTGAGTAATTTTCAATACATATTCTACCTTGTTCAGTGGCACACTTGGACTTTTGGTTACTCGAGCGCTAGTTGACGGTTGTTGCAAAGAATCAATACTTTCATCTTCGATGTCCTCAAGAATTGTTCCTTCGGTACCTTCCTAGAATTGTACATTTTTTTCCATTGAAGGAATTTATACCCTAGAACCTGCGCACCTTAACCGGAGGAGGCCTACGCGTGCTAGCTCGTCTATCCTTTTTTGGCACCGCGGACGTAACTGAGGAGTCAGAATGTGGATCAGGAGCAGGAGCAGTCGGAGTGTAGGATCGTGGAAGATCCAAAGGACGAGTAGCCAAATCGTCTTTGAGTTGAGCTAACTCAATTTGGCAACTGTAAAATAGAACACTAAGCAAACTTGTGAAACCAGAAGAAATCAGATATAAGAGTTTGTAATGCTTACTTGTCCAATAAAGCCCCTAAGGGGAGCGTAAAGTGGTCCTTCGATTCGATTCTTTCGATAATTTCAGCTTGCCATTGCGAATCCTGTTCGCATGATGGCTTTTGCTTCACCTAAAGGATGAGATCACAGCAATTGCAATACTGTTGCTTTAAAACTTCAATCTTACTCTGTTCTGAAGGACCGGCAAAATAAGTAATGCAATGGGCAGCTCAGCGTGGAGGACGAAGTCAATAAATTGTA